GACAGACAGACAGACAGACAGACAGACAGACAGACAGACAGACAGACAGACAGACCAGACAGACCAGACAGACAAGACAGACAAGACAGAGTGACATGGTTGGCTGGAGGAAATGAGAAATGACATATTGTATACCTTAGGTGTGCCGTTGTCTTCTGCAATACAATTACTTTTGTCTAGTGCCACGTTTGCTGTAAACATTAATTCTTATGCGTGTAGTCTAATAAAGCTGCCTGTTCAAAACGTATCCATGAACCTGTCCATAAGAGATGAATGTACACCTAAATATCTCCCTTTGTGCTCTCTACCCTTTTGTCCTAGTTAACAAGTGCTACAGAGTGTTAAAAGGAACAGGTACATCCTCGCCTCCACACTTACTGTAAACAGGTTGTTGTTTGTTTGTTTTTCTTTCGCGTGCTTCTTGAATTCGTAATTTTCGAGATATTTAAAGGTATCCGCAAATTCAAGTCGTTAGCTAAATCTTTAAAGGGGTGCTACTGCATTGGAACAATAGACTCTACACGATTCAAACTGTGAAGGCGTGTCTTGAATTAACACGTCACCAAATTAACTCAAACCCAAACCATATGGGGGGAGGGGTGGGTGCTCTCTAGCTATGTTCTGTCAAATTGCTTTCGTTCCCACTTTCTGCCCCCACCCCTTCACCTCCTTTGCATCCTCCTCTGGACTTCTGACTCTTTCTGTAGCCTTTCTACTGCTACTCTTGGCTCCTTCTTACTGCTGTCTTTCAGACACACCCCTGTTCTTCCGGTAGGAAAGATCTACATTTAGCCTTGTTGGACAAGAGTGAAAAATCTCGGAGGTCCCGTGTGAAAGTTGCGCACGATAAAGATCACTTGGCGGTCTAAAATTGATAACAGTAGGCTTCGGCCGCCACCCGGGCAAAATTCAAAATTTCCTACCAACTGAAAATGTTTAATGTGTTCCTCGCGCTCATATGACCTTATGCAGTTGCGATCCCTGTAAAACACTTACCGAAAAAAAAAATATATTTGTGTGTGTAGGGCCTACACTTGAATGAAGTTTTGGGCGGGTTATATCAATCATTGAAGTCTTGTGAATTGTGTACACCAGGCAAGGCTTCTGAATCTATAGCTTGTTCACTTTCGTCTGTCGGCATAAAAAATTCCAGCTCATAATAATATAGTCATTTACCTATGCGCACGACGACACTTTAGGTGCGCGTCACCAAACATTTCCATTTTCATATGGAAAATCAGTGACCACCAGCTAATAACACGCCAGAAAATCACTGACGCGGAGGCTGGCAAGTGTGCTCAACAGAGAAAGAGAAACATACTGAAAATAAAACACTAAAGCAGCCTGAAAGAGGAATTTGTGAAGAAGGAAATTACCATTGAACAGTTTGTCATGAGAATGAGTGTCAAATTGCTCCAATGAAATGTTTTATCTCCGCCCTCACTGATTTTCATCCTGTTTTAATCATTGATATCCAACATAAAGTAATAATTATATACCCTCTTTGAAGTCCTATTCCTATATCCTCATGGTGAGCAGGGATAACTATAGCCCTGTTCTTCGAATTAAGAACGCATGCACACACGCGCAATGCTCAGAAATGTGAATGATCATTTACCAGTTTCTATACCCCACTT